ATATACCTTAGTTCATTCAATATTGGAGGCCAAAGCTTTGATAGGTGGTTTGAATAAAGGTGGGTCAAAACCATGAGCATTGGTGCCCAAGTTATGCACTAAATACGACCAATGATGAGGAAACTCACTCATCCAATAAAAAAATTGAAAAAATCACTCAAAAACAAAGTCTAGGTAACCTTGGGAAGCCTAGTTCTCCTGGTTGGGGGGCCACGTTCAAATTTCTGTACAACTCCCCAAAATGCCTCTGGTATGTAATTGATTACAAGAGGCATTTTGGTCGAACGTTGCTCCCCAACCATGATAACTAGGTTGCCCAAGGTTTTCTGGACTTTGTTTTTGAGTGATTTTTTCAATTTTTGTCTTGGATGAGTAAGTTTCCTCATTATTGGTGGTGTTTAGTTCATAACCTAAGCACCAATGGTCATGGTTTTGACCCACCTTTGTTCAAGCCACCTCTTTGGGCTTTTACCTCCAATATTGAATGAACTAAGGTGTCTTTTGATACATTAAACACTAGCCATGATGAGGAAACTCACTCATCTAAGGACTAAGAAATACCAATGATGAGGAAACTCACTCATCCAAGGAAAAAAATTGAAAAAATCACTGAAAAGAAAAGTTCAAGCAACCTTGGGGAGCCCAATTATCCTAGGTCAGGAGTCACATTTAACTTTTGGTACAACTCCCCAAAATGCCTCTAGTAATCGATTACAGGGTCTTAGTAATCGATTACTAGAGGCATTTTCGGGAGTTGTACAAAAAGTTGTACAAAAGGTTGCCTAGACTTTGTTTTTGAGTGATTGTTTCAATTTGTTATTATTGTAATTTTTTTTATTAATGAATGAATTATGTTTTTCGATTCCTTATCTATTATGTTAAATTCTTCAACTAAGAATGAATGAATTACAACGTAATGAGTTAATTGCACTGAACCACCTATCTAGGCTTTGGCCTTCACAATTGAATGAACTAAGATGTCTTTTGATGCACTAAATAATCGATTACCAGAAGCATTTTGCGAAGCTGTATGAAATGTTGTACAAAAGGTTTCCTAGACTTTTTTTTGAGTGATTTTTTAATTTTTTTTTCCTTGGATGAGTGAGTCTCCTCATCATTAGTGGTGTTTAGTCCTTGGATGAGTGAGTTTCTTCATCATTGGTGGTGTTTAGTGCTTCAAAATACACCTCAGTTCATTCAATATTGGAGGCCAAAGCCTTGATAGGTGGTTTGAACAAAGGTGGGTCAAAACCATGAGCATTGGTGCCCAAGTTATGTAGTAAATACCACCAATGATGAGGAAACTCACTCATCCAAGAAAAAAAAATTAAAAAAATCACTGAAAAACAAAGTTCAGGTAACATTGGGAAGCCTAGTTCTCCTGGTTGGGGAGCCACGTTCAAATTTTTGTACAACTCCCCCAAAATGCCTTTGGTATGTAATTGATTACAAGAGGCATTTTGGTTGAACGTGGCTCCCCAACCGGGATAACTAGGCTCGCCAAGGTTGTCTGGACTTTGTTTTTGAGTGATTTTTTCAATTTTTTTTCTTGGATGAGTAAGTTTTCTCATCATTAGTGGTGTTTAGATCATAAGTTAGGCACCAATTGTCATGGTTTTTACCCACCTTTGTTTAAACCACCTCTTTGGGCTTTGACCTCAAATATTGAATGAACTAAGGTGTCTTTTGATGCATTAAACACCACCAATGATGAGGAAACTCGCTCATCCAAGGACTAAGCAATACCAATGATGAGGAAACTCACTCATCCAAGGAAAAAGATTGAAAAAATCACTCAAAAGAAAAGTTCAGGGAACCTTGGGGAGCCCAATTATCCTAGGCCAGGAGCCACGTGCAACTTTTTGTAAAACTCTCCAAAATGCCTCTAGTAATCGGTTACAAGGTCTTAATAATCAATTACTAGAGGCCTTTTCGGGAGTTGTACAAAAAATTGAACATGCCTCCCCAAGTAGGAGAATTGGGCTCTCCACGGTTGCCTAGGCTTTGGTTTTGAGTGATTTTTTCAATTTTTTTCTCTGGATGAGTCTGTTACCTCATTAAGACTTCAAATCACATTGCACATTAACTTTTCACTCAATAATAATGTGGATTGGAAATATCTGGAGATATATTAACATTTCGAATAATTATTGCAATCATTTTCATTGAGTTAACTTTACAGTGATCTTTATTTAGTATTGTTCAACCTCATTTTAAAAAAACATTTAATACACATATTATTGTTGTTTAGGACCATATCCAGCATATGGAGTTCTTAGCGCACAACTCTTTTTAACTTACATGTCGTCCTTTCTTCATGCGCTTGTATACATCCATTTTCTTAAATTCTACAGTTTTATCTTCTAAACAAAACTTACCCCTCGAGGCAACCCATTTAACATATAACTCATTGAAGACACTCCTACCAATCTTAACATTGTCATGCAACTCTAAAAACCAACCAAATGGTGTCTTTTGAATAAGCTTCTCTGCTCCATAGTCAATCTTCAATTTAAGCACCAACTAACTTGGTTTTGAAACCATGTCGCACACACAACTGAATTAAAAATCAACTTATCACGTCATAACAATGCAAAAATGGAATAATGAAAGAGGAAACAGGAAAGGGGATAGGGGAAACGCGAAAGGGATAAGGAGAAATAGGAAAGGAGAGAGGTGTCTCACTGAAGAACGTTGAATTGAAAAAACAAACCGCCTCAACGGAGGAGGGAAATGTCTTGACGTCGATGATGGTAGAAGAAACGAGAAAGAGGTCATCAGAGGTTGAATTGCCAGAGGAAGGAGAGAAAAAGGAGAGAACAAAAATAAAAATGGAAGAAAAAGATAACCAAAATAAGAATGGAAGAGAGAGAACCAAAATGAAAATAGAAGAGAGAGAACCAAAACGAGAATAGAAAAGAGAGCGTAAAATAAAAATGAAAAACAGGGAAGAGAACGAAAATTAGAATGAGAACTCTACTACCTTTTCATGCCACTGTTTAAAATTAAAAAAAAATTCAAACGAACCAATATATTTGATACGTAATCATGGTGAAAAAGTTATTAAAAAAAAGTGGTTAACATTAATACTAACAAAAATCACCATGCCACGTTGCTAAAATAAAAAACGACTTCTGCATCACCAATATACAACACACAGGCTTACTTCTCACTAAAATTGGATTCATACAATGAAATAATACCTCCAAATTTGCTAACCAATTAATTAATAAAATATCATTATTATACATCAAAACTACAACATATAAAAAAATATTTATTTATCATCCATGACACATATATAATATACTATTTCATACAAGTCTTCCCACTCTATAAAATATCAAATATTATAAATTATATGTTTTCTAATAAACCGCACACCAAAATTGCTAACTCAAATTTTCAAAATATTCCATACTAAGCATACTAAAGTTAATCCTATTCATGATATTATATACACTCAAACTCTATTATGAAATAAATATTTACATTTCCGTTTATGAGCTTACCAAGGTATGTTGAATAACCAAAATGTTAGTTAATACACGAACTGCACAACTTAACAAAATCATCTGTTTCTGTAAATATTTCTGGGACCGAGAGACTGACTGCTGACGTGTCTGGGCTGCTCGCTCGTTTCCAAACTCTTGCTATTGGCCGATCGGTGTTGGCACAAACTGATCGGTCTCCTTCTTGACGAGGGAGGATATACCTACAAAAAGCACTCCGACACTCAAGTTAGGCGTGTGGTTGAAGAGTGTTTGAGTGCCTGATTGACACTGTTTGTATATTTGGAGAGTAAAGGGGAGTGTATAATGCTTAAGTGAAAAACGTAGGGTTAATAAAGTGTAAGTGGAATCCTGAGCTGATATAAACCCAATAAAATATAAACAGAATAAAATATAAACAGATTACTTGAAAATCCGGTTGGTTGTTTATAACCTGCTTTATCAATATTTTTAATTAGATATTCTTTGATTATTTTATCATCTGCTGGACTGTTGACCCAACAATAGCTTAAGCGTTGACCCAATTGTGATCCAATCTTTAACCTAAGTGGATGGATCGATCGGTCTTAATCACCAACCGCTCGATTAATATTTTATACGATACATCATCTATCCATACTAAATTGTACCACAACACTCATCACACCAATGAATAATAATAGATATCTCATATCACAAAACCAAAAGCAAATAGTTAACTTCCATTAAAGCACCACAAACTAAAGGAAAAGATAGGTAGTTCTCCTTATTCAATGCAATCCAATGTCCCACGTTAAACTTCAACTAAACTTTTATTCACCCAACTTACAAATAACCATTCCATTAGCATAAAAATATAATAAATAACCATTAGCATAAAAATATAATAAATAAATTCAAAGTACTACAATTCAAAATTAAACCTATGACACCTATTTTATAACAAGTACTCTAACCAACTAAACTATAAAACCGATTAATTGTAAACCTAACTTAATAATATGAATCTAATACTATACTATAACTTTATTCTGTAATTTTTAAAAAATTCTAACAAGTTTGAGAATCAAACTCATAACCTCTATTGTCAACAAGTTTTAACCATCTAAGTTAACTCATTTTCTTATAATAATGTAATAAATTAAAATATACTGCGTCATTTTTTAATTTACGAAGAATTACGAAAAAAAAAGACAATTATGATTGGTAATTATAAAATTATTATGTTAGTTCAAATATCATATTTAAATGACATAATTTTAGTTCAAATATTTTTTAAATTAAAGTCATAAAAAATAACACTACTTTAATTTAGAATATTTTAAATATCAATATCACAGTTTCTTCTCAATCAAGTTAACACGACTTACATGTAATATTTTTTTTTAAATAGACCAAATTCGATATATCTTTTAGAAAATGCACTAATGGAGCTTTTGCCTACAGAATTACAAGGACTAGGTAAAAATCAAATTGAAATACTACTAGGCTTGTCTACTGACCCACAAAAAGTCATTAAATGGATTAATGATTTTTTCCTCTCTTTGGGCTATTCTTGATTTTTGTTCCTGTTGATTTTTCTTCTTTGATTAGGGTTTTACAGCATAGAGAGAAATGGGAGCAAAAGGAAAGAGAAGGAGAGAGAAGAACTACAGGGCTGCTCATGGTGGCTACAGTGGCCTCCCTCCGCCACCCAAGCCTTCTCAACTCGATGCTTTACCTTCCAAACTCCGCCAAATCATGTCTTTCTCACAACGCCCAAATGGTCCTTCTCTTTCTTCCTTACCTTCACTCTCTCTTTTTTTGTTTCTCATTCGTCTCCCATATTTTCAGGAGCTAATGGGTCGTCGAAGAATCAGAATAACGATGATGGGCATGCCCAAAATGTAACATTTAATCACCCCATCTTTTTTCAGTTTGTTGCTCCTTATTTAACTGTATATTTGTTTGTCTTAGACTTTTAGAAGTGACAAAAAGAGACTTGGGTTGCTGTAAGAATGTGATTGTTTTTTATTATCTGAAGTTGTTTGTTTGCTTATTGTAATTGAATTGAGGAATGTTTGTAGTATCTGAAGTTGTTGTCTCCTTCCCTATAATGATTTATGATTCAGTGATTCTTGAATTGGATGAATATGTGCATTACATGTTCAGTATTTGCTTTACACTTTCATTCAAGGTTTTAAATTGTGGTTATGGTTTCATTGCAATTGTTGATGTGGGAAATTACGGTTTTAAAAATTCAGTGATTCTTGAATTGGTCTCATTGCTGTCATGGAAATTTCAAAATCCTTGTCAAAGATCTTTTTTAAAATAGTGTTTCCATTGTTTATCACTTGGTTTGAACTTGTTTATACTCTAGAGTGTAGTCCAAGATTAAATGCAACTGAAGGCATGTTGGTTTGTTTTGAGGTATTTGATAAAATACAATGCCAGCTGAGATAATAAAACTGCAACTATGAGAGTATTTGTCACAGTCAGTCAAAATTCAATAGATTTGTATTTATAATGTTCTGTGTTGTTTATGTATTGAATGACTTCGTTTTGCAGAAGACTACTTCAAAGGACAAAGGTGATGTTCGAACCAAAGATGTCAAAGAGGGGAACACTAATGAACAATTAAAGGAGCTCCAACATATGGATAAGAGTGAAGAACAACTTATGGAAAGTGGTGCAATTGACAAGAAAAAGAAAAAAAGAAAGAGGAAGGAGGTTAAAGATTTGAGGTTTGAAATGGAAGTGGATAAAACAAGCTCCCAGTTAAAAAGAAGGGAGCGGAAGAAAAAGTAAGTGAGATTAAGCCTTCATATTTGTGTTTTTTTTTTAGTTTAGAGAAATTCATTTTGGTGCTTTCTATCAGAAGTGTTTTTACAGATTTAATTATCCTTTTCATATCAGTTTTTCTTTACATTGCTATTTGTTTCAAAATCCAAATGGTGAATTCAAAAAGAGTATGAAATCGTGATAATATTGTGTTGTAATTAAAGGAAATATCTATAGAATCTTCTTAATTAGAGTAAATATATATAGAATTTTTCTAATTAGAGATAATAGGTGTATGATCTTCTAGATTATTTTTCCGTATATTGTTTCCTTGTTTCCCCTTTTTTAGAAGATTAGATTGCTACAAATAGAGGTAAGGAGAATGTAATTGATATGAATCAAAATAATAAAATCATTCTTTTTTTCAAGTTATTGCAACACTCGATGATGTATTTGTGGTTGTATCCATATTCATGTCTTAATGCTCATTGTCATTCTAAATTTAAAATAAGACAAAATAGAGAAACAAACCACTTTTAGTTATAAGATGTTAATGGTAAGATTATATTGGACATTATTGAAACCATTACTTTATAAACCACAGAATGTAAGCTTGTTGCATGTGTTTCCTTTTCCTTTTTCCCTCCATTTTTACCACAAGTCTATGTTTTATTCTGTGTAAAAGGTATATTCAAACTCAACAGTAGTAGATTTATTTGTACCAATGCTTATTATCCACATTCTATGTTAGAACCTACCGATATGCATAAACAAATAAATACTTTTTGTTATATTTGAGGTGGCAAATATGGAACTTGAAGTTGAACTTGTGAAATTTAGTTACACAAAAAGAGTAACACAGGACATTGCTTTAGTTCATCGTAGTCTCAATTGTGATAAATCTTTCAGGTATTTGGAAGCAAAGAAGAAGAAGCACAAAAAGTCCCATGAAGAAGAAATGGACTTTCCTGGACAAGAAAAAATAGAATTTGGAGATATTGTACAAGCCCCACCAAAATTATCTGTTCCTCCAAGGGTAAGTAGCTGAAATTTTAAGCTTTCCAAAATGGATGAGGCCATAGTATTATTTGAGTAAAATATTTTGTTTTTGTAATGAAGGCATTCAAGAATGCTTCCCAAGAGAGACTTAGACTACAGGCTATAGAAGAGTACAGGAGTCGTAAAGGATGGACATCAAGGCCAGGAAATCACCTTCCACCTCCTTTCACTACGATGGATTCTTAAATCGTTTATGTTTTTTTTTTTCTGATTATGTGTTGAACTTATTTGTTACATTGTACAATCCTTGGAAAGCCAATTTACTAAGCTCATAAGGTAGCTAAATTTTGTTAGAATATAAGCAATACATCAGCTCAAACTTCTGTTGCTTTTTAGATTTTGTATCTAAATTCATGTTATTGTTTACCTTACCATGGAGCAATACATCAGAAAAGTGAAATTGGAGTCTTCTGCTGCCAAATTTAGAGCCACCATCATGCAAAATCTGAACTGGTTGACTAATATAATAGTAACTAATAAAGAGATCAACCATGGTTAACACTTGGTTTTTTGAGACAGGTTCTATTTTCCAGAAAAGTAGTAGTATCGAATTTTTTTATATTAAACAGCATAGATAGCAAACTGGAAGGGAGGAGAGATTGGAAATGAGGAGAAATGGAGGATGGTTGTTTGGTTGAAGGGAAGTGCAAAACAAAATGGAGTGAGTGTCTGCAGATAGTTTATTCACAAAACGGTGAAGAAATGCCTGGAAACGACTATTTAAACGATTATTTGTTGAAGTAAATTTGATTTGAAGTGTTTTTTTTATAAATATAATTAATAAGAATGTATTCTTTTTTTAAGAATTATATAATAGTAATAATTAAAATCGCTAATAACAAATAAAGTTATAAATCTGAAAGATCAATTTATATTTCTAGTTATATTTTACTTTTTTATTTATTTTTCAACGTTCGTTATTTGTTTTTTTGGTTAAATATGTTTTTCGTCCCTTAAGTATCACACGATTTTGGTTTTAGTCTTTACTCAAAACTTTGATGGTTTTTAGTTCTTATAGTTTTGAAACTCTTAGTATTAGTCCTTAAAAATAGATGGTGTTAAGTTTTAGTAGATGTGGCAAACGGCGAGGCCAGGTTTGATGCCAGTTGTCGTGCCACGTTGATTGTTCATTTTCCAAGTTGAACCTAACTTCGTCCTCTACGGCGACCCAGAAGCTTCCCGTTTCTACCCCTCGCCCTCCACGCCCTCCAGCAGCACCGTGGCCAGGAAGGGTGCTGCACCTTTTGATCCAATCACCTCTGTAGTTTACTAAAATTCTGCACCTTTTGAACCCCACCCCTCCAAAAATAAAAAATCGCACCTTCCTAAAACTGTGGTTTATAAATAACTCAGCAAATTAGCAGACAAAAACTGTTTTTCAAATGATACAGTATGTATGAAGTTTAGATTCTGGTGCGATTAAAACAGAAAGTTCCAAACCCATTAACTCTATTAGAAAGAGGGGCGAAAAAAGGAAACCCATGAATGAAATTCAGAAGAAGAAGAGAAAAGCTTGTTGAGAAAGTCAATGCTAAGGACATACATACCTTGTGGCCATTGAGGAAGGGGTGAAGGCAGAGAGAAGGGAAATGGATCAGGGTCAGTGAATTCAGGGACAGAGTCCCAGCATAGTAAGCTCTTGCACCCAAACATCACTAAGAGAGACAAGTATTCTTCAGAGACCCCTTCCACAAAAAGAGAATGCTTCTGGCCACGGTGCTGCTGGAGGGCGTGGAGGGCGAGGGGAGAAACAGGAAGCTTCTGGGTTGTCGTAGAGGACGAAGTTAGGTTCAACTTGGAAAATGAAACAATCAACGTGGCACGACAACTGACATCAAACCTAGCCTCGTCATTTGCCACATTTACTAAAACATAACGCCATCTATTTCTAAGGACTAATACTAAGAGTTTCAAAACTACGAGGACTAAAAACCATCAAAGTTTTGAGTAGGAACTAAAACCAAAACAGTGTGATACTTAAGGGACGAAAAACATATTTAACCCTTTTTTTTTTCATTTTGTTCCAAACATCATAAAAGAGACTATTAATGGAAAATTTTGAATTCAAAGGACGTACACGTCAAATCTTAGTTCTAATGTCTTTTGTTTAGTAAGGTTCTTAGTGAGTAAATTTCACAGTCATCACTTTAAATCACTTTGGACACTAACTTTTTACTCAAACTATTTTAGCCACTAATGATGACAATCATGACTTCAAATCACATTGGACACTAAGTTTTTACTCAATAACAATGCTAAATGGAAATATATGTGGATATATATTAGCATTGACAATATTCATTGCAATGATTTTTCATTTAGTTAACTTTACAACAACCTTAATTTTGTCTAGGCAACCTCATAAAAAAAACCATTTAATACATATATCATTACCGTTTGAAACCATATCTGGCGTAGGGAGTTCTTAGCGCACAACTCTTGTAACGTATGTGTCGTCCTTCCTTCATTTTCTTGTAGATATTGCTTTGTTCAATGCCTCCCTCGCCTTCAAATTGAGTGTTCATGTGGTCATGTCGAATAGGCGTACTGTCACAACCAAACTCCATGTGTGATGATCGAAATACCTGAGGAGCAACATTTCCATCAACACCTTCTTCGACAATTCTTTTCTTCAACCAACTTCTCTAAAACAGAAATTGAAGCTTCAAGTTCTTCAACTACTAATTCTTGTTCCTCTATAATACGCATAAGAACTTCTTTACGTTTGGTTTTATGTGTTCCTTTTTTATCGTTAAAATCCTCACCACTTTTTTCAGTTGCTTCTTTCACAATTGCATGACAAAGTTCTTCTCTTGACACAGCAACATCATCAACCACATGAAATATTAAAAAAATTCCCATTTTAAGTGACAATAAGTATAACACAAAAATTTCAAATAACCAAGTACACATCGCAACCTTTTCCATAGCACGTTTGATTAAATTCTCGCCCACATTTATATTAATCCAATTCAACACCCTTAGGAATTTACCTATGCAAGAGTGTGAACTCATAAAATGATCACAAAACCAAACCTAAAAGATGTCAAAAACCAAAAACTAAGTCATATACCACTCCACACTATAAATAATTTACATTTCATTAAATATACATGATTTACCTGCAACATGTAAACACATCCAACAACATGCACGGTTTTTTGTACCTTTTCGTTTCTTGAAATGCTATAGAAGCATTGCATAAACTACCGACCAAATACTAATAAACTAAACTACCCCAACTATACTGACCCACACACCCTAAGTCATCAACAATGTTAAAAAGAATGGGAAATACTGTTCCATTACGATTAGGCAGCAAAACCTTAGATATCCCTAACAAAATATACAAGCTATAGAAATGTGTTTAAGGAAAATTTTCATGTTCTTCCAACAAAAAATGTTATATGATGACATTCACATATACTTTTCCAGCACCACAATAATTCCTGCATTTACTATGTACACCAACCCCATTTAAATCAATTTTTTCTCCAACTAAACTCAATCCTAACCCTAAGCATACATTCATTTCTTTAAATTCTACAACTCTCTCTACGACAAAACAAAACTCACCCCTCGTGCTTCGAAGTCAATTTTTGATTCAAAACACCAATTAACTTCGTTTTGAATGAATGCTGCACAGACATTCACATTAAAAATTACCTTATTACATCATAACAATGGAAAGAGGAAAAACTCAAAGGAGAAAGGTGAAAGGGAAAAAGGGCTTCCCAACAACGAATAAATATCTTGCTCCCATTACCACAATTACCAGATTTTTCCATTTTACAACCCACAACACCAAAAAGGAAAAAGGGATAGGTGTCGCCGGTGGAAGTTGAATTGCCGGAAAACTCACCGTAGAGAGAGGACAGAGAGATGCAAAAGCTTTTCCAAAAACTGAAGTGGGAAACTTTGAAAAAAAAACCATTTCAAACTTGTCTTCAATTTCATGCCAGTTTTTAGCATTTAAAAAAAATCAAATGGACCAAAAGCTCTTTGACATGTGATGTTGTGAAAAAGTTGTCCAATTTTCGTTGTTAATATATCACGGTTCATTCCTTAGAGGAATTTGAAGCTTCCAAATTTTGTGTGATTGTTGCTAAGATTTAGAGGAAGATCCTTTTCACATATTTTTGATGGGGGAAAGGACCAGAAAATATAACAACTTAGAAAAAGTAATAACACAGCGGAAATTCAATCCCCCTTCTTACGAGAATCTGTGAGGAGCACCAAACAAATAGAACAAAAATAGAATCCAAAGCACAAAGAGACACCAACAATTTTTAACGTGGAAAACCCCTCAATGCAAGGGTAAAAACCACGAGTCGTCCATATCNTTTCGTTGTTAATATATCACGGTTCATTCCTTAGAGGAATTTGAAGCTTCCAAATTTTGTGTGATTGTTGCTAAGATTTAGAGGAAGATCCTTTTCACATATTTTTGATGGGGGAAAGGACCAGAAAATATAACAACTTAGAAAAAGTAATAACACAGCGGAAATTCAATCCCCCTTCTTACGAGAATCTGTGAGGAGCACCAAACAAATAGAACAAAAATAGAATCCAAAGCACAAAGAGACACCAACAATTTTTAACGTGGAAAACCCCTCAATGCAAGGGTAAAAACCACGAGTCGTCCATATCAAAGAAAAATCCACTATGATCAATAATAGGGTACAAAAGAGTCTCCAATAACAACACCAAATGATGTGTTCAATAAGCCAACTTAAATAAGCACAAATGCTTACAAATGAGAACCAAAAAGATGAAAACTCTCCAAAACAGGGCTGCTGGTGCAGGACCAGTTTCTCCCAGTCTAGACCTACGCTTGACGATCCGAACAGTCAGAATGAAGAAACATATGTATGGAACCTATTGTCTAAAAATCAGCTCGATCCAACAGTGAATGACTTCACAGCGACGAAAACACTAGTGCAGGTTTAGGATTATGCGGGAATGACTTTCTCTCTTTCTTTTTCTCTCACTTGGCTTTTGTCTCTCTTCAAATGACTCTCACGTGCCCTATTAATCTAACCCATCTCTATTTAACCTAGTGAGACATAAAGGTCCACATTATTTAGGCATATTCTCCACATAGGAAGGGAGCCCAATAACCCAACAATTTTGTCGAGGTATGTTCTTATAGTTGGTTGCATCACCATGCTATGTGTTTTTCTTGTTGCGTTTGGCAATGTGTATCACTCGAGTAGCATACTAAGCAACTTCAGCTCGAGTTGGAACTCAAGCTCAAGGAAAGGAGGAGAGAGCAGTGAAGTGATTGTTGATACGGTGATTGTAAGTGGAGAAAATGGATCAGAGATAGGAGAGA